AAAAAAAAAAAAAAAAACCAGTAAAAAAGTACTAATATCCACTGTGAACCTATATAAGCATAAAGAATGTAGCATTTCCCTAACTTACTTAATCGATAAATAATTTAACCAGTACATTTAAGATCTACCCCCTTCCCCCTCCATGGCAAGGCCAATCACTCTCTCCCAGAGCAATGTGCTGTAGAATACATCCTGGGGAATGTTGCTTTAGAATAATTTGTGTCCTATGGTGGATTAATCAGCACCAAGAAGCGCTAGGCACCGCAAAGCAAGTAACATTCTTTTAATACGGAAGGTTTTTCGTGTAAAAAAGACTAACACGTACTAGCAGACTAATATGTACTAAGAAAGTTTGCACTGCTGAAGGCAACCAAGTTATCTAAGAAAGGCATGTTACTTAAAATGTGACTGAAATAAAGGCAGATGTGAACTCCCAGCTTCTGATTTTTCTTTGTATCTCAATCTGCTGTCAGTGGAGCCTGTCGTATTTAATGATAGCATATATTCTTATGTTTTTAAGGAGAAGACTGAGTCCATAAAAACCAGCAATGTTAAATATGAAATGTGTGTGTGTGTGAATTAGTCCATTACACAGTATCTGGTTTACTTTTCTCTCTCTTATACTCATGCTTCAGGTATGATGTTTTAAAACATCTTTAGAGCAACAAAAAGTAAGCACAGCTAAGATCAGCAGATTCCCCTAAGAGAAACACACACACACACAACATACATAGACTTATATAAGTCTTTTCATGGTGACTTACCTTTGTACTATATATACTTTATTTCAGTTATGAATCTATAATGGATGATTTCCCACATTTCTCAGACTGAAGGCAACTGAAAATGGACTGTTAGGATGGATGCCTGGAAATTCATGTAAAGTAAAAAAGGTATGCTAAAAATAAATAAATTAAAAAAAGAGATAGACTTACATCTAGTAGTGTGTGAAGATGCTGATCCTGGAAAACACTGTGTAGAAAATCTAAGTCCTTTTCACTGCAGTCTGTAAGTGCGTGAATTTCTTCCAAGCTGTCCAGCACCTGTGAGACTGCTCCTATGGGAAACAAACAGGAAACAGCCAGTACAGAAAGTCAATGTCAAACCAACCTTTGTAACCCAGATCTTGCACTTCAGAACGATGGACCAACAAACAGAACTTCAAAGGTTCATGTCTGTACTCAATAGTCTTCAATGAGTTTCATATTGCTTAAGGATGGAGTATTTTCAGTGAGTTTCTGTTTGCGACAACGTATTTGTGTGCTTCTCATTTTTCAAAGTACGTATGTTGAAGCTGGTCTTACTTGCATTAAGGAAATGCATTAACTATAACTGAGTTACTGGAAGATCTGGGTGCAGCAAGTTATACATTAGGAAGAGGGTGTCCTTTCCTTGACCATATGATGTTTTAAAATATTACAGAAATAACACAGGCGAGCCTTTCTTACAGGTATATTCCATCAAGAACTGAAGGCAAAGCCAGCTGTAAATCTGAGGGACAAGCCTTCGACTAGGTGCTCCTGCTGAGTAAAACAAGCTTATTAGGATTTTTAAGGCTGAAACTTAAGTTAGTAAAAATCCCAATGCATTCTCCTTCCTTTCCATACAAAGTCAAGAGAATCAAGTTGTTCTCAATCTGTTAGGCCCTTTTTATTCAAAAGACAAAGACAAAGGCTGAGCATATTGACTGACACTTCCAAATACCTTATTAAATATTAGGGCAAATCATTTCTGCAGGGCAAAGGAAATGGTAGTGTGATTACTTTCTTTAAAATTCCTTCTTATAACCTGGAATCCAGAGAGGCTTCAGTAGGGAAAGATATATACTGGGGAGTAACAAAGTCACTTACACAGCCTCAAAGAAATGATTATTTTCCTCTGCAGACAGTATGCAGATACCTACTCCAGAGAAAGAACCCTAAGAGGCTAGCTTCACAACATTCGTGTACACAGTGTTTGAGAAATTCTAACAGTTAAGTGCCTCATTGCATATATAAGTCTTGGATCAGTTTTCAAGCAGTGGTGATTTTGCCCCCCATGGGGACATCTGGTAGTCTGGAGACATTTCTGTTGTCACAACTATGGTGGTGGTAGGGGGACAGTTTGTGCTATTATCATCTACTGGGTAGAGGCCTGGGATGCTATTAAACATCCTACGATACTCAGGACAGCCCTTCATGAGAAAGAAGTATGCAGCCCAAAATGTCAATAGTGCTGAGGGTGAGAAATTCTGCTTTAGATCATGATAAAAAGTATTGAATCTTTGTGTTCTGGAATTCTATGCTGTTTCTAATTACTTTTGGCCTTGGACCTCATCCAATTGCACGCACTTATTGGTGAGAATGTAAATTAGTATCACTTTCCCAGGAAGCAATCTGGTAACATATTTCAAAGAGCCTTAAAAATGCTTTTGTACTTGGACTTAGTAATTCCATTTCCAAAAAAACTACCTTAAGGAAAAAAATAGGAAAATGCAAAAAAGATTTATGTATGAGGATATTTATCATAGAAAATATCAAATAATTCAGAATGATCAAATAAAGTATAGAACATCCACAGAATGCAATATATAGCCACATGGAAATTACTTTGAAGAATTTAAAGACATAGAGAAATCCTCAATGATCTGAAATTCAAGAAAGCAGAATGCAAAACCACAAAAACTTGCATATTCCCGACTATGACTGAAAAAAATACATATACAAGCTCAGGAAAAAAACAGAATGAAATACACCAAAAGTGTAACAGCAGTGATCTTTACTTTCCTATTTATACTTCATTCTGTTCTTGTCCATATGTTCCAAGTTTTCTACAATGGAAAAAAGTTGCTATCTAAGCAACTGCTTTTTGCAGTATGATTTAATTATGGTAAAGATTTGGGGTGTAAGCCACAAATCAAGTGGTTATCCACGTGGAAATTATTGTGGGTATTTTTTTTTTTTTTTTTTACAAATTTGACTTTTTGAGGTAATTGTAGATTCATGTGCAATTGTAAGAAATAATAAAGAGAGATCTCATGTACCCTTTACCCGGTTCCCCCAAATGAGAACATCTTGCAAAACTGCCACACAACATCACAACTGCGACAATGACACTGACAGTCAAGCTACAGTGTATTTTCATCACCAAAGGGACCCTTCATTTTGCCCTTCTACAGCCACTCTCATTTCCTCCTATCCTATCCCTTCTCAACCCCTGGTGACTAACTAACCTGTTCTCCATTTCTGTAATTTTCTCATTTTGAGGATGCTATATAAATGGAACCATATGGTATGCAATCTTTTGAGATTGGCTTTTCTTGACCCAGCAGAGATCTCTGGAAATTCATGCAGGTTGCTGTGTGTATCAATAGTTTAATTCTTTTTATTGTTGGGCAGTATTCTGCTGCATGGATGTACCACAGTTTGACCATTTGCCTACTGAAGGGACTGTGTGTGGATACTTTTAAATTTTGAATGATTATGCCTACGAGTCTCTTGGTATTCTTCAACTAAAAGCATTGAAGGGGTATCAAGGAGGATAAAAAAAAGGTACAAGGCACAAATCAGTCCTCATTTCCCTTGCTGTTTCTGAAAAGGCATTAACCAAATCCATTTCCTTCTACCTGTTCTTCTTGTGACTTTTACTTTGTTCTGAGTAGGGGGGAAAAAAAACAACTCTGGAAATTAGTTCAAAGGCAGCTCTCTCATTATCCCTTACTGAAAGCCTTGTAAAACAAGAGATAATATGAAGGAATTAGTTCCAAATGTCCCACTGAGCCCCTGACCCCTGCACATCATCAATAGCAGAGTTCAAGGATACCAGGTTTATGAAGTTACTAAAGCCAGTTCTAAACTTCCGGACTCACCAAACTGCAATAACAAAAATACCAACGAAATGTTTGTATACTAAAAAAATTCAACAGATACCACAGAAACCTAATTATCACTTTCATTCAGTTATCTTAGTGGAATCTTACCTAGTTTCTACTGTTTCTGCCAGTATCATTTATGCAGATACATCATCTAGGTGGCAGTTTATTAATACTCTAAGATTAAAATAAAAGAACCTTGAGGTGCCTGTGTGGCTCAGCTGGATAGGCATCTGACTTCAGCTCAGGTCATGATCTCACAGTTTGTGGGCTCGAGCCCCACGTCACGCTCTGTGCTGACAGCTCAGATCCTGGAGCCTGCTTCGGATTGTGTGTCTCCCTCTCTCTCTGCACCTCCCTCTACTTGTGCTCTGTCTCTTTCTGTCTCTCAAAAATGAATAAACGTTATAAAAAATATTCAAAATACATGGGACACTTGGGGAGGCTCAGTTGGTTAAGTGTTCGACTTTGGCTCATGGCATGATCTCGCGGTTCACGAGTTTGAGCCCCATATCGGTTTCTGTGCTGACAGCTGGGACCCTGGAACCTGCTTTGGATTGTGTGTCTCCCTCTCTCTCTGCCCCTCCCCTGCTCACGCTGTCAAAAACAAATAAAGAAACTTAAAAAAAATAAAATAAAACAACCTTGTATTTAGTGAATACCAAGAGGGCAAGTCTAACCACTGGGAAGCAATTCTGGCTATACCAGACCAGGGCTGTATCACTTGTTGGTCTGTGAACTCCCAGGCTTCCATGTAATATCTGTTTGGGTTACCTTATGTGTGCACTTGTTCACTCTTTTGTGCTGTCAGGTCCTTAAAGCAGGTCTACATTTGATTCATTTTAGAACACCCACAAAGTATGCACTGAATTAAGTTCTAAAGAAACAAAATAATAACAGCGGCTCCCAATTCTTGAGTGTCTATTCTGTGCCAGGCACATCTTCAGGACAAGGCAGTAAGGTAGATATATATTACCTGACCTTTCTAGATGGGGAACGGAGGTTCAGAGAAGTCGAGGAAGTGGGAGAACCACGATTCAACCACAGTATGTCTGGCTCTGAAGTCTATGTTCTGCCTGACTTACTACATGAATTGGCTGTATGTGGAGACATAGGAGAAATGTCAACAAGAAGCTACGTGTGGTTTATGCATGGATATGGAGGCTAGAAAAGAACCTGAACCCTATCAGGTTGGAAAATAACCAAACCCTTTAGTGAACATTCCTACTTCTTGCCAGGTGCCAGGTGGGAACTTCTGAGAAAACAGGTATGATTCCTGGCCTTGAGGAAGGGGCTCTCAGGCTAGTGTGTTAAGCAGGCATGCTATACCCTGAAGTAAATGATCTACAAGAGGAAAAAACAAAGTGTCACAGAAATAGGCTGCCTAGCGAGACCCTGGGACAAACTTAGAGAGGAGGTGGATGAACAGGAATTCAACACCTCCACCTGGGGTCTAATGTGCTCTGATGGATGAAGAGGATGCTTTGCTGGAAAGCACAAAAGCACAAAAGTATTGTTAGCCTGTGTTTCCAGTAGGCAACACTGACTGGGTCAACAGGTCTATTTAACCTCCTTGGATCTTGTCACCTTTTCTGAACTGATTTATATAGTCTTATCCTGTACCCAAATATGGTTCACTTTGGGGCTTTTCAATCACAAAAAGAAGCATTTCCATAGCTGTACTCAAGCTGCCTAATGCAGTTTCTGTAAAATGTCCCAAATTTTAAGTTCCTGAAATTAGGCAGGAAAATTACACTTTTTATTTCATTTCTCCTTTATCTTTTCACATTGAATAAATGCATAGTTTTGGTCTAACCTCAAAATCTTTCTTTACCCTTGATCATTGTAACACTTTCCACTGATATCTCTCTTTATTTCTTTGGGTATGACCACCAGAACCACAGAAACACATTCTTCATCTAATATATACGTACAACTGATATCTGCAGTTCAACACCAAGCCCATCTAAATGTCCCATAATTTTTCAATTCATTATAAGATATATAGGTATACGAAGATACTTCTGGGCTTTTGCACTGCTATTTGTTTTGAACATTGAGGCAGTAGTAATAATTAACACAACACAACAGCGCGCCCACACACACACACACACAGGTTCTTAACTGCTACTGGTATTTATTTTGTGGATTAATCCTGTCATATCTGAAAGAACTATTCACTTTCCTCAAACACTGAAAAATATGTT